CTCTAAGGGCGTTGGTCTCCTCAATGGAGAGGTTTAATTCGTTGCTTTGTGACGGCATTGTGGCGTAAACCCTAAACCCTAAACCCTAAACCCTAAACCCTAAACCCGAAGAAGAGGCGGCCTCCGAGTAGGTAAGGAGGGATATTTGGGTATTAGTGGTGGAAGCAGCTGTCTCCATCACGGGAAGAATATTTTTTTGTCTCGGGTTTAGGGTTTAGGGTTTAGGGTTTAGGGTTTAGGGTTTAGGGCTTGATTGTCCCTGGGGCCCTCTCGCATGCAGCGCCTGCATCCTCTAGAAGGAGACAAGTTGAGGGGTTTTCCTTCTGTTTTATTTGAGTTGTTTGGTTTATTTAGGGTTTAATTATTAATTAGAGGAGTGTAAGAGATAAAGATGAGGTGTTTATGGAGCCCTGGGGTTTAGGGTTTAGGGTTTAGGGTTTAGGGTTTGTGGTTCTTCCTTCCGTTTCACAGGCATCCTTTCTTCTACTCGCTCAGCATGCCCGCTTAGGGATTGATGCGATCGAGTCACACCTAGGGTTTAGGGTTTAGGGTTTAGGGTTTAGGGTTTAGGGTTTAGGGTTTAGGGTTTGGCAATGCAGGACGGGAAGGTTTTGTCTGAGAACGTCCGGCGGCTGCGTTTTATGTCTGCACAGCAGACCAGCCGCCCAGCAGCAGCAGCAGCAGCAGCAGCAGCAGCAGCAGCAACAGGAAGGCGGCAAGGGTGGTTTGCCCCAGGGTGGGAACAGGCTGAGAAGATATACGAGCAGCAGCAGCAGCAGCAGCAGCAACAGCAGCAAGCAACAGATACGCCCCCCATATACGACTTCCTGCTCTTCAGGTGAGTGTCTAGGGTTTAGGGTTTATGCTATGCGGCTCCTTTTGGAGGGTTTAGGGTCTAGGGTTTAGGGTTTAGGGTTTAGGGTTTGTGCGCAGGCGATCTTTTGGCGGCGCAAACCCTTTTATAGAGTCTCTGAATAAGAAGCAAATAAAAAAAGCAGCAGCAGCAGCAGCAAACAGAGAAGAGAGAGACCAAGCCCTCATCTTGCAGCGCAATAGAGAGGCCCGGCAGTTTCCTAGGGCTTAGGGTTTAGGGTTTAGGGTTTAGGGTTTAGGGGTATGCTGGCTCCTGGGTCCAGACACAGCAAACCCTAAACATCAACCTGTTTCATAAGAAACCTCCTGAACCGAATATGGGTTTCAAGGGTTTGTCTCGTCTCCCGAGGGGTTTATTGCTAACGGTTTAGGGTTTAGGGTTTAGGGTTTAGGGTTTGGGTGATGCTTGAAGACCGCCTCCTGGGGACGAGACGTCGCACAGCTTCTGCAACTCCTTCTCGCGCAGCATTAGCAGCAGCTAGCTAGACAGCTAGCTAGCTAAACAGCTAGCTAGACAGCTAGCTAGATAGCTAGCTAGCTAGCTGTTGCGGGGTGGCTGAGTTTGTAGACTGGAGAAGCCGCAGCAGCTTCTGGCGTACGGCAGCAGATGGGCCGAAGGGAATAGACGGGGGTTTAGGGTTTAGGGTTTAGGTTTTAGGGTTTAGGGTTTATTGTGTAGGCTTTAGGTTGCATCGTTTAAAGCTCAGGGAGTTCTTCTGTTTACCGTATATTGTGTATTTTTTATGCTGTATGGTTTAGTGTTTAGGGTTTAGGGTCTAATTTTATGGTTTATGGTTTAGGGTTTAGGGTTTAGGGTTTAAGGTATTGGGTTTAGGGTTTAGGGTTTAGGGTTTAGGGTTTAGGGTTTAGGGTTTAGGGTTTAGGGTTTAGATGGCTAGTAGGTCATCTTGGAAGTGCATGAGTAGGGTTGGGGTGTCATTATCATTGTATTTTTTTTGTGTTTGTTTGTTCTGCTGTATCTGATTATTATTATTATTATTATTATTATTATTATTATTATTATTATTATTATTATTATTATTATTATCTTCTGAGGGTTTACAGGAGATGGAGAACAGCTCCTCTGGCGTCTTGTTAATATCAATGGCTATGCCTCTCCAAGACCAGGTGTATGCATCTGCATGCATGTTTAGTTTGCTGCTGCTCTGAAGCAGCGAGGCCTTGAGGGGTTTGCTGCTGTGCAGCAGCGCGGGTTGCTGCTGCATCGTTAGGGTGTTAAGGAGACGTACATACACCCCAGAAGGAGACAGCTCCCCAACTATATATCTACTGTCTCTCCACCAGGGGACTGCTGCTGCTGCTGCTGCATCTGCTGCTGCATCTGCATCTGCATCTGCTGCATCTGCTGCTGCAGTTGTGGGGCGGGTTCCAGGCGCATGCAAGAAGGGTGAGTTGGGGTGTATATACACCTCAGTACAATCGCTGCGTACACGAGAGACAGCTTCAGGCTGAAGCGTCTCTTTATCAAACCAAAAAGATATATCTCTGCCTGCATTTTCTATTAGAGGGAGAGCATAAGGGGTTTTATGCTGCTGCAGCAAAGGAGACAAATCAAACACCTGCCCATACACCGCAACCCAACAGTCTGAAGCCAAACAGTGCTGCTGCAGTTCTTCTGCTGTTATTAGCTGCCCCCTCTCTGGAGGTCTGCATACATCTCCTTCAATGACCCCAGCATATGCATCATCTGTCTCCTTGCTGCTGCTGCAGTGCATCTTCTACCCTCCGCTTCTCCTCCTCCTGCTGCTGCTCCTGCTGCTGCTGCTCCTGCTGCTGCTGCTGCTTCAAATGATGGTGCTGGTCCTCCTGCTGCTGCGGCTCTTCACGATAGTGCTGCTACTGCTGCTGCTAGCTAGGGGCGCCGCTTGCTGCTGCTGCTGCAACACGCAGCAGCAGCAGCAA